CCTTTTCAAAAATACAACCTTGCTAACAATCAAACCAGTTATATTGGAAAATTACTGTGGCTACGCAGCTAAAACCCTTACTGGTACGTTCCTCGTCATTTACATATAAGAATTGCTCTGTTAAAGTTGATAATATTGCTTTCGAAAAATACCAGTTCAACATATAACATTCCAAGTAACATTTCAAGTTTTATCGAGGTTTTAAAGCGTTCTACAAGTCTAAATCATGGTCTACAGAACTCTCATAAAACCAAAATTGTTACTTGAGATGCAATCGAAATATTTATAACCCGTGCTACATATTGAAACTCGTAGAAAAATCTATATCAAACAGTAAAAAACCCAACTTTAAAACGTAACAAAGGACAAATCTAACATGGATTGTAACATTACTTATAATCTCTAGCTTTAGGCGCACAAATAAGGAAAATCTGTACAAAGATTGTTATCAAACCTTCTGATACTCACGCGATAACAGGTATCACTGCTGAACATTAAGGTGAACTGGGACGGCTTATTCTAAGACGAGTGAAGTTATGTACGGAATCTCATCTACAAATCAATAATCAGGAATATACATGGTTAGTTGACAACCTATATATGGTCCTCACAAGTTTCTACCTCACACCTCCCTGCGGTGTAGCATGAGCAATGTTGCCCTTCCGACAATAGCAAAGTGAGGGGGTGTGATGCGAACACTGGCGCGGTTACCATAGCACTAGAGGGAATACTTCGTCAATCTACAGGAGTGCCAACCGGCTCATTAAGATCGACACCAGTAAGATCCTAATTACGGCATACTGGATACGGCATGGGCTAATAGTGCAGCTGCCCCCGACCCGGTAAAACCTTGGCAGGTCTCTGGATACGTTCAAAACTCGCCACCAATTGGTGGTTGGTGATTAGTAAGCTCAGATGTAACATTCCTGACTTACGCCGATGTGGCTCTGAACACGGCCCCCATGAAGGACCGTGTCAACCCTAGCATGGCCTCCCTGCTTGCATAGATAACCATAGGATCACGATAGGTGACTATACAACGAGTGGAAAAATTGAGAAAAACGAAGAAAAAACAAAAATTAAGGACGACGGCAAGACGTCATACAGTGAAATCGGAGGAGCGAACGTGTTCTCAAGGGGTATAATAATATTGCATAGATCACCAGTTTTGAACCTCCCAAGTAACAATACAAGCTGAACATTAAGAACAGAAGCTGATTATTTGTTGATTTAAGGTGTTCAAAGCTGATTTACATAAGGCTGAATATATAGTTGATAAGTAGTGCATGAAGCGAATTTTATCCCCACAATCCAACCTCAATAGGTTAGCTGATCCAAAGATTGAACAAGCCTTATTTAAGCTTAACACAACTCCACAAATCAGCAATGCGTTACACATATTTTGATAGCTTGATTTGTTAAATGTCGTCAGTGTCTGTGTCACTCGTTGCATGTCCGGCATTTTAGTTCTACTAGATTCACTGCCTACCTCGCTAATTACAGGCAGTGGCAGCAGTAGAGTCAAGGAACAGGAGATTTTAATGAATAGCTCCAGGTAGAAGTGGTCTGCGAGGACGTCGAAAGTATTAACATTTGTACTTCTGTGTTTTGACTGTTCACCACTTTTTATTGTACGGAATTTTCAGACCGCATTCCAAAAATATTACTCAATTATGGCACTAAAATAGCATCCAAATGACCATCAAAATAAATCGCGTGCTTGTGTCCACATTGTGTTAAGTGCACTTGAAAATGTTATTGTGTCTAAGAAAATGGAGAGATCCTTCAAGTGCAGGGGCTTCAGTCACCAGGCGAGAAACTGCAAAGGCCCTCATTGCAAAAGACTGTACGAAGCCAGCGAGGTACATGCTCTGCCAAAAGTAGGATGGATAGAGCGGCGACGGTGGTGTAGTGGTAAGCGTGATTACCTTTCATCCCTGGGTTGGATTCAATCTCAGTCGGCGCCGCCGGGATGTTCTGAGGCATAAAATCTCTGATCACGCCTTCCTTCGGTTGGTCCCAGGTTCATGAGCTGATGGGTGGATAGGTAGGGGCCAGGTATGGGAGCTGCCTTCCTGGCGTTGGTAGTATTGGTGCTTAGCACGGAAAACAAAATCGACGGAAAACAATCCAAAGGAAAAAAGGATGGAAACGCCCATGTGACGTGCCCAGGTGCCCAGAATTCAAAACGGCTATAGTGGGCCAACAGTAATGGAGGTAACCCAAATAAATCTCAATCATTGCAACACCACCAGATGCTAGATGGACTCACCGGAGAGCTCATTGAACGAAGACCAGTCAACATCGCACGAGATTTAAACGTTTAGGCAGTGGATTGGTGGAACAGATGTAAGAGGGTATATCCTGCTGGAAGCTCTGGCAAAGTTAAACGTCAATCTGACCAACTTAGAAACCTTCAGCACCTTCCGCAAAGATGGTAGGGAATCCATTATCGACGTCACTTTCTACAGTCCGTCGCTAGATGCGAGTATAAACTGGAGAGTGCGTGAAGAGTACACCCAAAGTGACCATCAGGCGATCCAGTACATTATCAGCGAACGGACATGGAAATGCGGAAGACGAAAGTAAGCGCGCGGAGGTGGAAGACGAATCGATCGTTAGCAAGGGCATGTGACAAAACTATGCCGAGAAAACTAGAGCCAACGAACAGGCGGCGTCCGGCTTACTGGTGGAAAGAGGAAATTAGCACCCTCCGTGCTAGTTGTCTTCTAGCTAGAAAGCGCGTTCATAGAGCGAGAACTGAAGCAGACAGAGAGGAGCACAGGGTGGTGTTTCGAGCGGCCAGGGCTACACTAAAGCGAAAGGTAATTTTGAGCAAGCCAAATAGTTTCAAGGAGCTGTGCCGAGACGCCAATGTAAACCCCTGGGGCGATTGCGATTGATGTGAAGAATGCATTCAATAGCGCCAGCTAGGAGGTCATCGGTGAGGCGCTCCATAGAATGAGGATTCTAGACTACATCTGCAGGATTCTAAGTAGTTACTTCCAGAAGCGGGTCCTGGTCTACGAGACAGACACGGGGCAGAAATCGCTTAGGATCACGGCGGGAGTTACACAGCTCCAATCTAGGCTCCACGCTGTGGAACGGGATGTACAACGGCGTGTTTACGCTCTAGTTGCCAAAAGGAGTCAAGATCGTTGACTTTTCGGACGATGTCGTCTTGACGGGAACAGGTGAGACCAGGGTAGACACAATTATTAACTGGATGCAAGGAGCGAAGCTGCAGATAGCCCATCATAAAACAGAAGTGATGTTGATCAGTAACTGTAAACAAGTGGACCGGGCAGAAATCACCGTCGGAGAGCATGCCATTGTTACGAGGCGCGAGCTAAAGTATCTGGGAGTAATGATCGACGATCGGCTGAACTTCAACAACCACTTCCCGCTCAAGACCATGCGAGTCGTGAGTGCGTAAAGAATCATTTTGACGGAGGCAGTATACGATATGGCCGATATGATCCCAATCGGAGAGGAATCAGAGGAGTACGAAAAGTGGTGAAAATGGTATCTGAGTGGCAACAGAAGTGGGATGCAGCGGAGAACGGTAGATGGACACACAGGCTATTACCGATTCTTTCGACCTGGGTGAACAGGAAGCATGGAGAAGTCAACTTCCACTTGACGTAGTTCCTGTCTGGACTTTGCTGCTTCAGGAAGTATTTGCATCGGTTCGGACATACAACATCACCCTTCTGTCCTGCGTGTGGGAATGTGGAAGAATCATCAGAGCACGTGGTCTTCGAATGTCCTAGATTTATTATTGTGCTAGAAAGTATTAATGTGCTCACATAAGTGCGAAGTGCAAGCAGAAGCCGGGAGAACTCTCCGTCAGAGTAGGTTGAATCCACCGCCAGGGGTTAGCCGAGTAGAACGCGACGCTGGGAGCTAAATGGCTCACAAATTGGAAAGACGATCAGCGAAGTGGATGCCCCAGTTAGCTGAGGTAAAGTGAGGTGCGTAATGCACAGCACTCTCCGAAGTAAATAATACGACAAGTGGTCCCGGGGGATAGGGCAAGGTGTCCAATGAGATTTTAGTGCGGTAAGAATCCCACACACCATGTCACCGCAACCGTGCGCCGGGTCAGGCAACAAGCAAGCGGTGGCATGATGGCCTTTTTGAAGATGAAAAAACACCGGTGCCGCTGTAACGATTGTATTCTCTTCTCTTAGTCTATTGGTAGTATTGGTACTACTCCTAGACTGAGTAAAAGTTTCGTCAATTTTCCTCATTTTCCGGCAGATTTTTTAGGTTTTCCATAGCAAAACATGAGACAAATTTTCTCATCACTGAGTTCCAGCACTGTTTGCAATTATGAGTAAACTGAACTCAAATTTGGTTTGATATCATTATCCGTGCAAAGCCAATGAGATCAGGTATCAGTATGATAATTAAGAAAAAGCTTCAGGTGCAACAATACACGGCGAATGAGAACGACCCAAATTTGATTTCTGTTTACTCATAAATCACATAGAGTGTATGAACTCAGCGATGAGTAAATTTGCCTCATGTTTTCCTGTAGAAAACCTTATAAAATCTGTCGGAAAATGAAGAAAATTGACAAAAATTTACCTCAGTCTAGAAGTAGTACCAATAGACTGAGTGAATCAAATCTGTACTTTTCTGATCTTCAGGAATTTTTTTCGTGGACAAACCTGAAAAAACCTATAAAATCATAAGACAAATTTACTCATCGCTGAGTTCTTAAACTTTATGTGATTTATGAGTAAACTGATCTCAAATTTGGGTCGTTTTCATTCGCCGAGTGCAGTATGAATGTCACGCAACATCATTATGTCACACCGATGGTGATGCTTGTTTTATAAAAGCATCGTCTGGCTTTAGCAACAGTCAGCGTAAAGTTCGGATGCGCATTGCATGAAAGCACATCGATACGAAAGCTTTATGTCGAGTAAAATAGGATGGCGATAGGTTTGATCAATAATACTATTCACAGAAGAAAATTGCTTTATATTTCCGGGAATATTAACTTCAAATCGATAATGTTAAATATCACAATCCCTTGATATCACTTTTTCAATTGATAATTTTTCGAAGCATGTACGCTGCTGCAGTGGCCAATGCAATTGCTTCCCAATTTGTGCTTTTATTTCCGTCGTGCGAATTGAAGACCACATCCGGTTGAGGTCGGTAGCTTTCGTCGATCTTCCTAGTTTCAACGATGCGTTTGAACACCTTCGCTGACATTTTCGCATATCGGGTGCGGTTTTGACTTCCAAAGTCAACGTAGTACAGTCCAAATTTGTACCTAGATTAGTTAAAAGCAAAACAATTATGTCTCAAATAGTCGCGGATAGTATGCCGAAAAACTCACATGTAGCCTGCCCTCCATTCAAAGTTATCCATCAAACTCCAAGCGATGTACCCGCGAACGTCACAATCTTCTTCCAGAGCGTCCAGTACCGCATTTAGATAGCCATTGTAGTAGTCAACTCGTTGATGATCCACAGTTCCAGCAACTGTACCAACACCGTTTTCGGTTATCCAGACGGGTGGATTGTTGTACTGTTGCTTCACCCAGACTAACAAATTTCGAAGGCCGTAAGGGACAATCTGTAAATTGTCACGATAGGAATTAGCATTTAAACTAAGATAGCTATTTGGTAGAGCAATACACTTAGCCACGGCGCTTCAGCTGTCGGCCAGCTAGGGTCAACGGACAGAAACACTCCTGTATCATGTTCATTTGAGGGAATTCTATAATTAGCCGGGTTGTGGTCGCCATTCTTGGAAGCCAACCTGGTGGTGTACGTATTCAAACCAAAAAAGTCGGCTGTTCCCTTAATTCGTTCCACCTCTTGCTTGCTGAAAACTGGTAGCCTCGATTTCGCAAATCTTTGCGCTTGACTCAGATTGGCTACGCGATCCTTAACTATTTGCGGGTAATCGCCTTGTGGTGAATATATCGGATGAGCAAACCAGCCCAACTGGAAACAAAATCGCAATTACAAGCATCTTGAACCAAAATCTATCGAAAAAATACTAACATGAAACTGCAGAGCCCAATCGGATGCCTCCTGGTCATCAGCAGAATCCGTGGCAGGTTCATACCATCTTGCATCCAAAGAAATCCCAATCACTCCTCTTTGCTTCGTTTGAAACACATTTCGGTACAGATGAACTGCCTCGGCGTGTGCCTTCAGAACATTATGACCACAGATGTAGTTCGCTATCCCGGGAATATTCGTGGCCGGCGCAAGGCCATCCCTTCCGTACGAGTTTTCACAGATGTGCCATGGCTCGTTGAAAGTCGTCCACATTTTCACTTGATTACCGAAATTTTCAAACACCACTCTGGCATATTCTCTGAAATGATCCACAATATCACACGTCAACCAACCTCCCAGCTCATGCAGCCGTTGTGGCAAATCAAAGTGATACAATGTCACCATCGGCTGAATGCCATTGTCAAGCAGTGCATTGATAAGGTTGTTGTAGTACTCGATCCCCTTGGGATTTACGTTATTGCTGAACCCATCAGGCATAATCCGGCTCCACGCAATCGAGAATCGATACACATCCACTCCCAGTTCCTTCACCATTTCGACATCTTGACGCCACTGGTGATAGCTATCGCATGCAACATCGCCAGTATCGCGGTCTTCAATCATCTCCGGACGATGATGGGTGAAGTGATCCCAAATGGATTCACCTTTTCCATCCTCGTTCCAAGCACCTTCGATCTGGTAGGCAGATGTACCGACTCCAAACTCAAACTCCGCTGGGAATTCTCGATCACGTACCGCTGACGAACAATAAATCACACCTAGTAGAAAGCTTGTTGAAGAATAATTGTTAAAATTGATCTAAAATCACACAGTTTATCTGTTACCTTGTCAATAGAACGAGCATCATGGCGAGACGGCAGTGGAAAATGCACTGCTGTTGTCTAATCTACAAGTAGCATTGTGAAGTGTCTTCTTCACTCACCGGTTGTATAATACACGAGTGAAAATAAACAAATACAAAATACCTTATCAGTGAGCTTACCGTTTCCAACCGATTCAAAATAGTTTCTATTTCACTGTATCAGTACACGCAAACCAAAAATTAATTACACTAGAATGTTATTTCCTATCATCCTCTGCAGCGAATACCGCAGATAATGATAGAAGTTGGCCATGCAGCCGATGCAATAATTTTGTATCTTTTTTTATATCGTGTTCTGTCTACGCTTATGACTATCCCAGTAAGCTGTTTATATATAACATTGTAGAACGACGCACACGCACACTTGCCTCGATTCTCTCCAATTCCAGTTCAACAAAAAAAAGCATACCAACTCGAGTGTGAAGCGAACCTCACACGTATCAATATATTGACGCGAAGGGGAATTATTGACAATAATATTGATGATGTGAATACAGAATTATTGTCAATACCGATGTATTGACGTCAATATAGAATGTATTGACAAAACGATTAATGTCAATACGCCTTTTTAATGCACCAGTGCGCCACGCGAGGTCGAGAAGAAACATCAACCAAACCGTTTGTTTACATCAGAATAAGTATTTTCCCCAACGCAAATAACAGCATTTTTCATTCAAAATCTTGCCAATTTCCATAGGTAATTGTCTTATTGTACGATTTTCCACAAATCTGAACTGATTCTATTCACACACAAGAAATCCGGAAGATCATAACCACTAAGGCACTTTTCTAATTTTTCATTTTTCTCAACAAAAATATTCCTGAACACCAGCAGAATCTTTTCCAAAACGTTACAGAATTAAATTTTTCAACTGTAGATTAAGTTTTGCAGTATCTCAGATGAATCAATTTATCAGGAAAAGTAAAAAAGGGTTCCGCTTCCTACGTCTCAAGGCAAAAATTTCTGCTCACAACACTCTTTTTGACGGTCTCCTATTCACCTCCAGAGGTTGAATCGATCGTTTTGTTTCTATTAAAAACGCCTATAAAAACAAACGTGTAGGGTCCACTTGAGAGGAAATTAACACTTCTTATTCGCTTTTATGTCCCGAACAATGGAAATAGCAGTGGAGAAAGAACAGGTCTGATAATAATTATCAGACCTGTGCTTTCTCCACTTATTTTTATTTTATTTATTTATTTCGTCAACCAACGTAGACTAGTACATATTAGAATACAGTTTTGTTTTCTTAAATTTATTTATTTATTTCGTCAACTTTGGACAAAAGGTTAAAAGTATAATTTTTTCTTTAATAAAAATTAAGCAGTGTCAGCTTTCCTATTTTTTATGAGTTATAATGCCTTATGGAGTAAAAATATTGTTTTAGTTTTGGGGCGACCCCGGCGTAGTGGTTAACATCCATACCTCTCACGCCAAAGTCACGAGTTCAAATCTCACCCCCGGACAAGTCACGAATGACCCAAGAGCGTTAAAGTGACTATAATAATAATAAAAAAAAAAAAAAAAAAAAATTGTTTTAGTTTATGCCGAGACATTGTAAAGTCAATGGTTTCGCAGTATTGATTGTTAGAGGCCATCATGCAATTAAATGGCCCATATTTTGCATAATTTGTGCGATGATGTTTTATGGCAAATAAATTTCCATTTCGGAGTTGCCGAGTAGGTGCATGGAAATTTAATTTTGATAAAAGTTCTGTGGAGTCAATGCGTTGCGAAACAACGATATCGTTTACAAATGAAACCATTGCATATTCACGACGCTCTTTTAATGTTTGTATGTTTATAAGCAAGCAGCGTGCTTCATATGATGGAAGAGGAAATGATGTCCAACCTAATTTACGAAGAGCGTATAATAGAAATTGTTTTTGTACGGATTCTAATCTTTCTTCGTGCGTGATTGAAAAAGGAGACCATACAATGCTGCAATATTCCAGTATTGAACTCACATAGGCAATATATAGTGTTTTAATTGTGTATGGGTCCTGAAAGTTATAGCAAAAGCGCTTGATAAAGGCTAGCATGTTATTTGCCCTGTAAATAATTGTGTTGTAATGGTCTATGAAAGTTAGTTTAGAGTCTAAGATAATTCCTAAATCCCTAACTCTTTCACATATTTCTATATTTTGATTTCCTAGTGCAATTGAAATATTTGAAGTTGTTCTTTTCCTGCTTAATGATATTAAGTTACATTTTTTTACATTCAATTCTAGTAGACTTTTTTTGCACCATATGTAGAATATGTGTATTTCATTCCGGAATATATTGATGTCTTCTTCATTTCTTATTTCTAAAAAGAGCTTCATGTCGTCGGCATAAATAAGCAATTTAAGTTTTTTGAGAATGAAAGAAATGTCGTTTACGTATAGAATAAAAAGAAGAGGTCCCAAATGAGAGCCTTGGGGGACGCCTGAAGTGACTTGAATTGGACTCGATTTCTTTCCGTTGAATTTAATTATTTGTTGGTGGTTAGTTAAATATGATTCAAACCTTTTTAGGAGCCCTGACTCAATTCCAATTTTTTGTAATTTAAAAAGTATCATTGGTATGTCTATGCGGTCAAATGCCTTGGTAAAGTCTGTATAAAGAGCTTCTACGTGGTTTCCATTATCCATTGCATTCAATGAATAGTCTATAAATTCAAGTAAATTTGTCGAGGTCGAGCGACCCTTGAAAAAGCCGTGTTGCATGTCAGTAATTCTATTTTTGATTTGGAGAAATAATTTTTCGTTGACAATTGCCTCGAAAAGTTTAGGAATGCAAGAGATAATGGCTATACCACGATAATTACGTACGTCAGATTTTCGGCCAGATTTAAAGATAGGCACTAGGAATGAGCTTTTCCAAGTTTTTGGGAAGGTTCCAGATTCCAGGAACATATTAAAAATCCAGAACAATGGAGCAGTGAGTTCCATTGCTAGACATTTAATAAAAACTGGAGGAATTCCGTCAGGTCCAGGACCTTTTGAGGCGTCTAAATTTTTTAAAGCCTGCAAAATATCCTGCACTTGAAGTTGATTGAGGCCAATGTCCCTTAAAAATTCTGGAAAAAATGCAAAATAATCGCGGTCGCGATCTTCTTCAGAAAATGTCGTATAGATTTCTTGAAAAAATTTTGCAAATAGATTGCAGTTTTTTTCCGAGCTATCACCAACATTTTCGTCGAGTTGCATTATTGAAGGAAAATTGTCAGATTTTAATTTGGTTTTTACGTAATTAAAGAAGTTCTTTGGACAGGACTTTATTTCACGTTCAGTTTTTGCATTATATTCTTCAAATGCAGTACTGATAGCTAAATTCAGTTGATCGCATAGATCCAAATAAATTAATAAATTATTACTACTATTGTGTTTTTTTATAAATTTTATGTGCTTTTTGCTTCCGATTTTTCAAGTTTTTTATTTGTCTGTTATACCAGACTGGATTTTGTGTGTTTCTGTTGCGTCTTTTTTTCTTCAAAGGAATTTCTTCCGAAATTATTTCTGTTAAAATTTAGTAGAACACGTCTATACCAATTTCGACATTTTCTACATTCCTTAAAATTAATTGCCAATTGACACTGTTTAATTTAAATTTTATTTTTTCGTAGTCTGCTAATTTGTATTCAAAGACTTCTTCGTATTCGCAGTCGTTGGGTCTTTGGTTTTCATGCACAAATAAAGAATATTCAATTGCTGTGTGAAACGCTTCATTTTTCCACAGTGGATTTAGTGATTCGGTCACACAGAAATCTTCATAAATATTCGTTAGTAAAAAGTCCAAATAGCAATTTTGTTGGTTTTTGATGTGGTTAATTTGGTTCAGTCCTAAATTAGCAGTTTTGTCAAAAATGAACTGCAATGTTTCATTATCCCCAACGACTGGGAGTAAGATACATTCATTTTCAGAGTCCAGAATGAAGTCAGCATGGCGTTGATTAAAGTCTCCATAGATGTGAACTTTAACCTCAGGAGGAAGCTCAGATAGAATTTGTTCAGCACTTTGGAAGAAGGCTTCATAAGTGCTTTTATGTGCATGGTCTGGTGGAAAATACACTGAGGCGAACACGTGCGTTTCACCGGCTATGTGTGATTTCACCCAAATATGCTCAAATTCTGTAAATTTTGGTGTAATGATGAGTTCTGAGTTTAAATTGGTCGAAAGAGCTATAAGGACTCCACCGCCTGACTTCTTCTGAGTTGCATGAAAATTTCTGTCGTCTCTGAATACATTAAAGGCATTTCCAAAGATTTCTTCACTTTTCACGCTTTCGTCCCAGCTTGTTTCAGTTGCCAGAATGACCGAGAAGGATGAGCATAATAAATTTTGATAGATTTCCTTCATTTTAGCTGGGCTTTTCATGCGATTGAAATTTTGACAGTAAATCAAAATTTCAGTCGCATTATGTTTATGTGAAGAAATTGTTGGAAGTACGTTGGTTGATAAAATATTTTCATTATTATTATTATTTACACTTACATTTCCATTTTCTTCTGAAAGTGTCCGAAGAGTGTTGTCGTTTGATGAGGTTTCTTCCGAAGTGTGCGTCAATGTCGAGTAAAATTTTGAGTGCTGTAGAACTTATATGCGGCTTCCCGTGTGTGCTGCAGTCGTTGTGTGCGTTCACTAGATAAGAACGCACGGTGTGATTCCAGGTCTGCCAGGGCGTCAATGCGTGGGATTCCAAGTTCTTCGTGGACGTCCAGAAAAAATTCGCGCAAAAGTTGTGTGTCCGTTGGTAATCCTTCGGCTGCTAGCATTAAAGTTGAACTTGTTTTCGTTCTTCCGCGGACACATACTGAAGGCGGTTGGTTATGCAGGAAAGACAGATAGGTTCGCACAGTATCCATGATTTTAGGGTCCCGCAGGCGTGCCTTCAAAAAGCGTCTGTCGCCGGCTGCAGATTGTTCCGTAAGCCTTACGACAGGCGGGCGCATAGGGTCTAGGAGTGGTGGGTTAGGTTTTTCTATGCGGTAAGGGTTAATAGTTTCCCCTTTTTGACAATTTATAAATTTCTGTGTACTGTCTTTACTTGGTGGTCCAGAA